ATAGTTTCTAAAAATATACATGTTGCTTTAAGGTTTAAAGGATAAAAAGTAGGTTTACACTTTTACCCATAAAGGTCTGGATGACTCAGAGTTTAATAATAGGATGCACAAGCTTTCACCCCTAGGTCACTAATTCTAGGGTGACTATAGTAGATAGTCATTTTAGGACATTAACATCCAGCAGCTGTTTTGTTCACAATCTGTAGAAGAAATGCGTTGCTTGTCTCTATTAATACTTATTTGACAGGTGTACACATACCAACTCATATGCATCTGCCAATTGCTAGCACTTTGAAGCAGAGTGATGAAAGCCACACCAGCTGCTACCTTTAGAAAGCCCTTAGTGTACCCAATTTTCTCCTTCCTTTATCTGACGTACTATATATTAATACTTCACAATACTACATATTTTACAGTCCAAAGCCAACATCATAAAGAAAGGCTACTGTGGAGGATTTCTGAAATGAGTGCATCATCATTCTACAAAACTAAGAGGGCAACAGAAAATCTTTTCTCCTAGGAAAGCATGGCAGAGGCCAAACTATCTGAGAAGGTTAACATTTGAAATGGCTCAGTGACCTGCTGGAGACTACAGACAACCCTGGAGTGTGTGCTTCACTTTAGTCATCCGTGCATACTACAGGGGTCACTGGGAAACAGACTTCTAAAAGGCATGTACCAAGGGCCTTGCTGGTGGCGCAAGGGGTTAAGCAGCCTCTGAAGCAGGAGTTCGATCCCCAGCCAGCCAGAGAGCAACCCACATAGGTGCAGCAGAACTCTCCCGTCTCACCCGCTGCTCCCCTCAGCAGTGTATTTCAGTCAGTCTGCCTGTTCTGTTCCCTGCTATGTCTCTGGTGAATCCTCTCACCCCCGACACCACTGGTCTATACCCCAGTTCTTGTATGCATAAATAAATCTTTTAAAAAAATAAAAAATAAAATGCATGTATCAGAGATTTACATACTCAGGCAACATAAACCAATGTGACTCCTGCTACCTCTGTCATGGTGCTCTATAGTCTGTAAGCTAACACCTATGTGTCCTGTCTAAGATTTATAATCTATCGATTCAGTCCTTCACCATGGCAACTTGAAACTGGATGACACCTAACACACTCTTAAGGTCACTCCATTAAGAAAGTTCCCTATAGCCCTAGTAACAGCAATCACTGGAAAAGAATTTATTTAGAAAAATAAAACTATTATTTTTAAACCACGGTGTGGAGGCACTTAAGTCACCACCTAATCTTTACTGAAATAAAGATAACACCTAGTTATCATGCTTTGGCACATATTTGGTGCATGTCACTCATGCCCTGAAATAAGATTTATTAACCAACAATCTGCCTTCCTGGGCTTCCCTGGTGGCACAAGGGGTTAAGACGCAACCTATGAAGCTATCCCCAGCCACTGCAGGACAAGTTAGATCCCCGGCTGGCCAGGGAGCTACCCACATGGCGCAGCAGAACTCTTCTGACTCGTCCGCTGCTCCCCTCAGCAGTGTATTTCAGTCAGTCTGCCTGTTCTGTTCCCCACTCTGTCTCTGGTGGATCCTCCCACCCTCCACGCCTCTGGCATGTACCCCAGTTCTTGTATGCATAAATAAATAAATCTTTAAAAAAAACCTGCCTGCCTATATTCGAGGTTCACAATGACCTTCTTTCAAAGAATTCAGCAGGTTCTTCTTTCAGAAAACTATTAATTTAACTAGGCAATATCCCAACTCACATTTAATATGCATTTTAATGCCTGCATAGAATGCTTAATAGCTCTGCTTTTAGAATTTTAATTGTATAAGTTTTTATGAAATACTTATTAGACTGCTTTATTTTCTTAGGTGTTGTAAATAATGCTCTATTTGGCATAAACTCAAAATAATGGTGAAAAAAGTCATTTCAAATTTATCATTTTATTTCACAGGATCTAAAAAGCACTACAAGTTCAGGTTTGACAGATTTGCTTCTGTCAAACCCACGAATTCTTATAGAATGAGGGAATAAAAGCACTTCCTATACCTTTTTGTGATCTAGCTCAGAAAGGCATAAACACAAATAATAAGCAGACTGAGTTTATTTTGCTTTACAACTAGTGGATCACTCTAGATAATAGCCTGCAATTGCATTTCAATGATGAGGAAATTAAGACACAAGAGAGGTTAAATAACATGGAAACACAGATCCTTCCAGTGTAAGGGACCTTAGAATTAATATCTGAAATTTTATGATCACAAGTATATAATTTTATCAACTTGAAAGAACTGTCATTTTTGTATAAGCTAGAAGTCTGTCTAAAATCTCTTTAGGGCCTTCCTGGTGGCGCAAGGGGTTAAGATGCAACCTATGAAGCAATCCACAGCAACTGCAGCAGGAGTTCAATCTCCCACCAGGGATTTACCCACATGGCACATCAGACCTCTCCTGTCTCACCTGCTGCTCCCCTCAGCAGTGTATTTCAGTCCATCTGCCCATTCTCTTCCCCACTCTGTCTCTGGTGAATCCTCTCACCCCCTCACACATCTTGCCTATACATAAATAAATCTTTGAAAAAATAAAAAAAGTAAAAACCTTTTAATTCTCATTTTGATACCAAATAGCAAATCTATTAATTCTGTCTGCTTTAAAGCTTTATCTTTGTCTTAAGTATCAAGAAGTTCAAAGTCGAATTTAGTGCCCAAGCAGAGCACCACTTCCTAGCCAGGGTTCCTGGCAGTAATCTCTTTCTCTCTTTGTCACTCAGCTCTTCATAAATTTGATTTCTAGTAGTTAAATGTGTAATATGCTAGACAATGTGCTGTGTGTTAAAGATAAGTAGTGAACAAATCATGTAAAAATTCCTGTCTTCGTGGACAGTACTTGTATGTAAGACGGAGTATGTCGGTGGTATGGAGAAAATAAAAGCAGGACAGAATACAGGGAGGGTGGGGGTGACGTTTAACCTTAAAAAGGGTGGTCAGAGTGGTCAGAGACCTGTAAGTGACATGTGCATAAGTTTCTGAAAGGAGGAAGAGGAGGAGTCATCAAGGAGAGAGACTGGCATCAGGCGGTGATCACAGGCATAAGGAACAAGTACAAAAACCCTGAGGTAGAAACATGCCTGGCCTGCATGACTCATCTTTTTTGTTGTTGTTTACTATTTTAATAAAATAACAGTTTTTTATGAAAGTTCTGTCAAATACTTTGGAAGAAGATCAGGAATATACATAAAATCATAAATACTACAAATGAGCTTCAGATACTATGTCACTTCAGAGGAGTTTGGGGGGGAAGTTATGCTTTACAATGACACTTGACTCACCTTGCCACCCTCCCACTCCCTGTTCCTCCTCGTCTCCACTAGAAATCAAAACACTGACTTCGTAAAACTAATTCATGGAGGTAAAAAAAAAATATCTGCTTTGGGGAAGAGGCCCACATTAAGGAAATCAAAAGCAAGGCGGAATACCCCAAACCACAATGACCACCTCGCTTGAATTTCTAAGCCCACTTTATTTGTATCCAACATGATAGTGCAACCTGCCACGGTTACTCTCTTTATATCATTATGTGCTACTTCATGCAGTTCTTGCCTACACATCTGCTCTCACAGTGAGCAAGGCCCTTTGGAGGAAGGCCCTTATCTTGGGAATGTCTGAATCCCATCGGGCTTTGCACATGTACCAATATCTGTTTGATGGTGATGTCATAGACACCACCACAGACATTCCTCCTGTTTTAAGTTATCTGTTTGTGGATAAAGCATGAATGAGCTATCATAGACTCTCACAGGCCTTTGGATAATCTCAACTGTCCTGGCCAAGTTACTGTTTGTGTAACATTCCATTCTGTTTAAATTTCCCTTGCATTTTCAGTTGGGTACAGCGCATACTTTCAGTCTAGACACAAACATGGATTAGCAACAAAATAGAGGGAACCACACTGAATGGAGTCTAGCTCAGTTCACTTCAGCTAATGTTACTAAACTATCATGGGAAGGGACTCACCATGAAACCACAAGATACAGGGACTTAAGATACTGTCCAGAGAGTACAGCCAGACAAACAGACACATAAGGAACAATTGCAGTGAACATAAGATACAAAGAAACATTCTGAAAGTATATAGGCAGGGGCCTGGAGAGTGAGTAAGGCTTTGGGGAAGACTTGGCACCTGAACAGCCAGGGTTTTGAAAGATGAATAGGCCTGGGACAATCAGACACAGGATCAAAGGGCATTTGGGATTGTGCAAAACACTGGCTGAAACATAACAGATTGAAAACTGCTGCAAGAAGACATGCACCACCAGTGAATGAGAGCCGGTCCACTGCACTCAAGCTTTCCAAGAAAAAAAACAAGCCTCAAATAAGGAGCTGAGGAAGAAAGTTTCACCAGTGCTTGTTTTGCAAAACCCCTCAGCCTTACTGTTTTGCCTTTTCTGTTTTGTTCCTTCTAAAAGTACTGAGCTGGCTGAAAACTTCTCCGAGAAAAGGCACATCAATTTTCCCTTGGAAAAAGAAAACTGAAAAGTAGGTGAGGGCCAAGCAATAAACACTTTTTAAATCTACCCTCCCTTTAGTGTATGAATGGGGCAAAATTCAGAATCAGGGGTGAGGGAGTTGATTTCGCCTCACCCACTCAATACATAATTGTTTTATGCCCACTAGCTGTCAGTTTCTGGGATGCCAGACCTCTGAGCCGCTCTCATTGCCCCCCTCTTTGAGCAAGCTCCTGTGTGCAATCTAGAGCAAATACGCAGAGGGCAATTGATCATGACTTGTTCCCTGCAGGCTTCCACAGCCTGAGGCTCATGCAGTTAAATTCCGGTCAAATTAACCAATAAGGACAAAATACACTTAAATATTATCACAGCCACAAGCAATCGAGATGCGAGAAATTGACAGAATTCTCCGGGTGGGTGTCTAGTCACCTCCTCCTGTGAGTAGAGAGCTGGCGCGCAGGACTGGCCCGCCAGGGATCTGGAAGGCTGAATGGGGAGCAAAAGGGGGTTCAGAAGGGGTGAAGTTACCTGGGAGCTCAGGTAGACTTTGAGGCACTCCTCGCACACGGCCTTCTTGCAGCAGGGCAAGGGCTTGATGGGCTTGTCTTCCAGGCACACCCGGCACATCAGCACCATGAGGGGCGCATAGGGATCCCCTACCCCACCCAGGCCAGAGTAGGGTGGAGCTCCCAACAGGCTGGGCACGGAGAACGGCTCGGGGGCCAGGTAGAACTCCAGCTCAATGCTGCCGCCGTCGGGGGCGAGGGGATCCGAGGGGAGGGACAGCCGGGGGCTGGGGAAGGAGGTGGGGGTGTCGGGAGGGCTCGTCACCGGCGGAACCCGCGGTGGCGACGCGGGCGGCGGCAGCTGCTCCGCCGGGGGGCCCTCGGGCAGGTCGTTCTCCACGCAGTACACGGAGCACAAGACTTGCCTCTGGGCGGGCGGCAGGCGCCGCTGACCCGGCACGTCCAGGACCAGTCCGTCCGGGGCCCCGACGCGGGCTCTCGGCCCCGGCGCGCCGCCGGCAGGCGCCTCGGGGCGCTCATCCCTGCCCTCGCCGCGGTCCCCCGGCTCCTCCGCTTCCGCTTCCAGCTGCTCGTGCAAAGTCTGAGGGTTGAGGGGTCCGGCGAGCGCCAGCCCCGCGGGCTGCCCCGCGGCTCGGCTCCGTCTCCAGCCCGCGCCCCCCGCGGTCCTCGGGGGCTCCGGGGAGCTCGTGTCCGCGCAGCCCGAGTCGCTTCCGCGGCCGGCGCCGCTCGGCTCCGCGCAGGCGGCGCTCAGCCCCGGAGCCCCGGCGCCGGCCCCCGGCGGCCTCGGGGGCTCGGGGTGGCCCGTGGCGCCGCCCGCCGGGGCCCGCGCCTCCTGGGGGCCGCCGCCGCCGCTCACTGTGCTCTGCTCCTCGCCCATCGCCGCCCGCGGCCCGCGCCGCCGCCGCCCATCCAGCCGCCGGGACCCCCAGCCGGCGCCGGCGGGCAGCGCGGGCAGCGGCTCGGCTCGACTCGCGCCTCCGCTTCTGCTTCCGGGTCCCTCCTCCGGGGCTGGGACGCCCCGAGCGCCCTCCGGGGAGCCCGTGCTCCCGGGCCGCGGCGCGCCGGCAGCCCGGCCCGGCCCGCGGCTCCGCCTCCTCGTCCTCTGGCGCGGCCGGGCACGGCCTCGGGGGCGCCGCGGGCCGCTCGTTCCGGGCGCGGGCGCGCCCGCCCCTCATGCAGGTCGGGGCGGCGCCGCGGTCCCGCGCGCCCCGGGCGGGGCGGAGGGGTCCGGGGGAGGCGAACGTCAGTCCCGCGCCATCGCCGGGGCCCGCGGCGGGCCGCTCGGGGCGCGCGGCCGGAGGGCGGTGGTCACAGGGTCGAGGGGCCTGTGGCGCCGCCGCGGCGCGCAGCGGGAGGGGCCGCCGGGGCGCGAGCGCGAGCCGCCGCGGCCCCTGAGGGAGAGGCCGGAGCGGGCGACCTCCTCCTCCTCCTGGTGCTCCTCCGCGTCCGCGGGCTTCACCTGGGGAGCCCGCCTCGCCGCCCCGCACCCCGCCCCGCGCACACCTCCCCGCACGTCCACACGCGCGCGGCGCCCGCGCTCCCTCCCTCGCGCGCCCCGGTGGGTGTGAGTCGCGAGGCGCCCTCGCGCCCCGGCCCCGCTCGGCCGCCCGGGAGCCCTCGGCGCGGGCGGGCTGCCCTGCGGGCTGCGCAGTGAGAACTTCCTACAAAACTAGTGAGGACGGCGAGCCGGGACGGGAAAACGCTGGCGACTTGAGGCTTTGGGTTGCTCCCGTTTCTCTTGGAGCCAGCCAATTGCAAAGCCTCCAGAGAGGATTTGACGCTGGAACGATTACTCCAAAATGCAACTAGGGATTGCTAGTGAAATGTAACGATCTGTTTTCTGTCTACCGGGCTAGGAAGGGTCTTGAAAGCCGCCCAGAAGACAAAAACCACTTTCAGGGTACTCCCTCCTTGTGAGAGCCGATAAATAACGACTGTAAGATTTAGTCCTCTTTTCGAAATCCTCTTGACTGTTCTCTTAGGAACTTTTTTAACCGCTTAGATTTGCCAAACTGAGTTGCACATGGAGTAAGATGCCCTGGCCTAATTAATAAGCTGGATCATTGGTGGAAATTATGAGGAGTTTCATTAGCATATCCTTTTTTATCCCCAAAACTGTTTCCAAGACAACAATTATGTTTGAGCCAGAATTTAATTATGTGTTGATCTATCTTTATTTTACAGGAAGTATTAGTCACACAGACTGGTGTGTTTTAGTTCCCTAAAGCCAATGAAAACATTTTTGGGAAGCCAATCCTTGTTTTTTTCATCGAGAGGGAATTTAATTTACACATTCATGTAATAGGAAGGAGCTGTGAAGTGCGTAGAATTTTTTTATCCTGAAGTTATTGGATTGTTCTAAAATATTTTCCAAATTAGATATAAATGCTACAAAGGTGACTGCGTACCAAGACAGAAAACACCAAAGAACATTTCCATCGTGTGTGTGTGTGTGTGTGTGTGTGTGTGTATGTGTGTGACTGATGCTCACTTGCACCCCTAAGGGGTGAACCAATCAATCAGTCTAAATGTCACCTCATTTATCACTCTGACCTGAGAATAAATAATTCTTATTTGGAAGATTAATTACTATTCATGGATTTTTCTTTTCATCTTGGCTAATTGACTTCCTGGTACTGCGCATTTCTCCAAATGATACCTCTAATGTTTATTGTTTTAAAGGCAGGGACAAGATGCCCGCATTTATGTGTCTTTTGTGTCTGCCATCTGCTAACTACTCTGCTATTCTTTCAGAAAGAATGCAAACATAATCTGTATTTACCAGGTGACAAGCTGAGAGTGAGTATAGCCAGAGTAACAATAATGAATACTAAAAAGGGGCCTCCCTGGTGGCGCAGCGGTTGAGCGCTGGGTTGCGAAGCTGCCTGCAGCCTCTGCGGCGCCGGTTCGATCCCCGGCTGCTCCCCTGCCACCAGAGGAGGATTCCACATGGTGCGCAGACCTCTCCTGCCGCCCGCTGCTCCCCTCAGCAGTGCACTTCGGTCCTTCTGCCTGCTCTGCTCCCCGCTCTGGCTCTGGTGAATTCTCTCACCCTCCCGCGCTTCTGACTGTACCCAGTGCATGTATAAACAAAACAAACAAACAAATAAATTAAATAAATAAATAAAACATGCCTCTATAAAAAAAAAAAATGAATACTAAAAAGAATACTTCCAATAGCTTCTACAGAAATCAAGCCCCTCAATATCCTGCGGTAGGTTTGGGACTTCCTCCCCTGAACATGTTTGCGGTAGATGTCCAGAGTACTTGCTCTTGCAGTACCCACCATTTAGTTTCTTATTCCCCAGTCCTAGTTCACTAGTGGTGACTTTCCTTGATAGGCAACTAGAAGTCACTCCTGGAATTCCTAAAGGCTTATCCATAACTCTACAACTCTTGTCCCAGTGACTTTCTCCTTGTGGTATTAATCAGCCTTTGTGAAAGCAGAACCATGGCATGCCATGCCTCCACCTTCCAGACAGACTCAGACTTGCTAACTCCTGGGCCTGGTATCCCTCATGCCCAGTCTGGGGCCTATGGGATACCAGCACTATGGATATAAAGTAAAATGCCATGATAAGAGGGTGTTCCTATCAGTTTCCTCTGAACTGAAATATATGAAGCACCTGTGATGATTGTGCTGCCTAGGATTCATTGTACTTAAAGAATAGGTTGAGAATATAGTTACCTTAGCAAAAATTTTACTTATCTACCACAAACTGAATATTCTTGAAACTCAGACCATCTGCTCCAGGTCAAGTTGTATAGTCATTAGTACAACATAAGTGCTATCTGCTACTACCGGTTTCAATTCTCAGTACTTTCTTGTCTGCATTGAGCAAACCTTCTCTAAAACCAAGACCTCAATATCAGGAGACAATGTCAAGTTTGAGAACTGACATAGTCAACTGCTTTTGATCATTCTTGAATATTATTTTTTTTGTTACCACATTTCTTTAAACATGACTTGTTCTTCTTTCCCTACTTTTTAAAATTCGGAAAATAATTAGAAAATTAAAGAGCCTAGACTTATGAGAAGAATATTATGAGATAAAGAAAAGTTGTGAATCATTTTATTTTTACATATTAAAGTGAAAACTAACTTGTGGAGAAGAGACATATAACATTTAAATACCATGAAATAGGGCCTCCCCTGGTGGCTCAGGCGATTGAGCATAGCTCTGTAAAGCTGTGCGCAGCCTCTGCAGCGCCGGTTCAATCCCGGCCGGCCAGAAAGAGTCCCACATGGTGCAGCAGACCTCTCCTGCCTCACCGGCTGCTCCCTTTAGCAGTGCATTTTGTCAGTCTGCCTGTACTGTTCCCCGCTCTGTCTCTGGTGAATCCTCTCACCCTCCTGCGCATCTGGCCTGTACCCCGGGTTCTTGTATAAATAAATCTTAAAAAAAAAGTTAAAAAAAAAATAAACACCATGAAATAATTATACAGCAAATTTGACTTGCTTTTCTACTAGTTCTTCAACTATAAAAAGGGGTAAAAAGAAATAGAAATCGCCTAACTTCTTAAAAATCCATTTTCTGAAGGTCAGGGAACAGTGGAATGTTTCCTGGGCCTGCTTTGGAAGGATAGTTCGCTATAGGTCCTGTTTTTCCTAGTTTTTCTTCTCCACCCCCATGGAGGAGGAGAACTTAGAATCACTAAGGAAAAGGAGCTCCAGGTGGGGAAGAGAAACACAGCTGTTTCAGTTTATTTTTTTCCACCTAAGGTCCCTATAGAAATTTCAAACAGCAACTTTTATGAGATAACATTAAAAATAAAGCAAAGCATTGTATTTCTTTAAATTATAAATGTCCAAATTCTTGACAAATAGGAGAAACAAAGAATAAGAAGGAAGATGGGGAGGGGTAAGAAAGAAAGGAAAGGAAGAAGATAGTATATAAAATTATATATATATATAATATATATATAATGGTATATGCTTTTTTTCCCTATTCTTGAAGTTATGGACTGAAAGCTTTCCCTCCTTAACTTTTTTTTTTTAATTTCCTCTTTACTTCTTCCAGTGACAATAATGCTCTAAAAATGCTCAGAGATAAACTCAGTCATAATTAATACTTCTAAATCCCCAAAACTAATCCCCATTGGCAACAAAAAGATGCAGTAATGTGAGTGCCCCAAACTTATTCCCAAATGCCAAGTTTGCCAAAGAAATCCCATCTCTCAACCCACACTGAAGAAATTCTTATAAAACTTTTTCAAAGTTATGTTAAAAGTTAAAACCATGAAAAAAGATAGGAAACGTACCATATGATCACAAATATGGAAACCCAGTTCTTAGCATTCTGCAATACTTATTCTCAATATAACATTTATAAGGAAAGCAACAATGAAAGAATGATATTCTGCAGTGACTTAGTCCATAGAATTATGGTTCTCAAAACTGTGTGCCTAGGTACCCTGAGGCATAGTACCAAACTCCTGGGGACACAATAGATCATTTAAAAATCTTTTGGGAATCACAGCATTGCCTGTTGGAAACCATGTAAACTAATACTATATAGTGATCTGAATCAAATTGCTATTAGTAATTTCTTTTGGCATCATTTAAACTGAGACAAAAAGGCTCCGAATACCAGGAGTATAGGATCCTAAATTAGAAACTTTAGATAAAGGGCAGAAGTAGCAGGACAGAGACTCTCAGAAATTTATATCTAAAATTTACAAGAAACACTTGTGTAGTAGGTAAGGGTTAACCTTGCTTAAGGAGAACTTTGGTAGTTTCCCCAGCTCCTGGAAGGTAACCTCTAGACTACAAGAATGGTCTTTATTTACCTGAAATCCTTAAGTAATGCAATCTATGCTAATAATATGATTTATGATGGGTCCATTGGGTCATGTACCATCAGCTTGACCTGTGGA